TTGCTTGTCCCCAAGCAAACTTAACAATTTATATCTCTTAAATCACATGCAACAATCATAAGCAAACTTGGCTTTTTGCTTGTTTCATTCTTCTTTGGCACCTACGGTAGAGATCAGAGGTATTTGGCCCCCAAAAGGGATTGGGGTTTTAGATCCTCGGGAAATCCCTTTTCTTAATACCCATATTCTCCTTTCATCCGGWGTTGCTGTAACTTGGGCTCATCATGCTATACTCGYGGGGAAGGAAAAACGAGCATTGCCAATATCTTGTCCCTCCCAACATATCTAGCATTGGGGTGGACCAGGTAACGGCTGAAAAAAAGTTCAACACCGTTGGTTGGATTCTCTGGAGAATCGGTCTCCCCAGAAGGGTGTATTGACCTGCCGGTCACGATCGGACAAGATGCTACCCAAGTAACGCAGATGGCTGAGTTTGTAGTGATCGATGGCAGGTCGGCTTACAACGCCATCTTTGGGAGACCTATCATCCACTCATTCCGGACCGTCCCTTCCACACTGCATCAAGTCATGAAGTATTCAACCCCTAATGGAGTCAGCACGGTCCGAGGTGAGCAAAAGACTTCAAGGGAGCGTTACGCATCCGCGCTCAAAGGGTCGTCAGTATGTGCCCTGGAAGAGCAAACTAGTCAAGACGACCTTCCGAGGGTAAGCAAAAGGCAGTTCTCCCCACCAACAGAGGAGCTCGAGCTCGTTCCCTTGCTTAGCCCTGAAAAACAAATAAGCATAGGAACCAAGCTGGGGGCCACTGACAGGGAAGAACTGATCAACTTCCTCAGGTCCAACTCGAACGTCTTTTCATGGTCTCACGAGGACATGTCTGGCATCGACCCAAAGGTTATGGTGCATCGTCTCAACATAGACCCATCATTCCGACCTGTAAAGCAAAAAAGAAGACCTGTAAATAAGGAGAGGAGTGATGTAATTGTTGAAGAAGTAAACAAACTTTTAAAAGCTGAATATATACGAGAAATTTTGTATCCTGAGTGGCTCTCTAACGTTGTATTAGTTCAAAAGTCCAACGGGAAGTGGAGATTGTGCGTGGACTTCACGAATTTAAATAAAGCATGCCCAAAAGATTGCTTCCCCCTTCCGAGGATCGACCAGCTCGTGGATGCAACGGCCGGGCACGAGCTACTCATTTTCATGGACGCCTACTCTGGATACAATCAAATTAAAATGCACTTACCAGACCAAGATCATACCGCGTTCATAACAGACCAAGGTCTGTACTGTTACAAAGTGATGTCTTTTGGCCTAAAGAATGCGGGTGCGACCTACCAAAGGATGGTGAACAAAATGTTCGCCAAGTATATCGGTCGGAATATGGAAGTGTATGTGGACGACATGCTTGTCAAGAGCAAGCAGTCAAAGTCGCATCTTTCCGATCTGACCGAAGCCTTTGGAGTACTGCACAAATACCAAATGAAGCTCAATCCGACCAAGTGTGCCTTTGGAGTCTCTTCGGGAAAATTCCTTGGTTTTATGGTGAACAACCGTGGGATCGAAGCTAACCCAGAGAAGATAAAGGCCGTGCTCGAGATGGAGGCACCCAGGACTCTAAAGCAGCTCCAGTGCCTTAATGGTAGGATTGCAGCCTTGAATAGATTCGTGTCAAGATCAACGGACAAGTGCCTTCCTTTCTTCAAGGTTCTTAGGAAGAAGGGACCATTCGAATGGACGGTAGAGTGTGAGCAAGCACTAGAGCAGTTGAAAAACTATCTCTGCTCAGCACCTCTACTCGCAAAACTATTGCCAGGAGAGAAGCTCCACTTGTACCTGGCAGTATCTGATAGCGCCGTCAGCTCGGCCCTGATCAAGCAGGAGGGTGCGCGCCAAAGTCCCGTTTATTACACCAGTAAGGCCATGACTGAGGCCGAGACCAGATATCCCCAAATGGAGAAGTTGGCCCTCACTTTAGTCACCTCGGCCCGAAGACTTAGGCCGTACTTCCAAGCACACACTGTCATAGTACTTACAAACTTGCCCCTGAAGAATATCTTCAGTAAGCCTRAAACATCARGGCGTCTGATGAAGTGGGCATTGGAATTGAGCAAGTACGACATCCAGTTCGGGCCAAGAACCGCGTTAAAAGGGCAAGCWGTGRCGGACTTCATCGCGGAGCTTACCCCACCGACCYAGTCGACCGAGTCCGACCTCTCGTGGATGATCTACGTTGATGGATCTTCCAATGAGAGGGGATGCGGGGCAGGAATTCYCTTGCTCACACCAGGTGGTGAGCGATTTGAGTTCGCTCTGCGATTCAACTTTCGGACTTCAAATAATGAGGCCGAGTACGAAGCACTCCTGGCAGGCCCGYGCGTTGCCAAAGGACTGGGRGCCAACCACATTAAGGTCTTTAGTGACTCCCAACTAATTGTAAATCAGATTAAGGAGGAGTACCAAACGAAGGACCCCCGAATGGAAAAATATCTAAGCAAGGTCAGATCGCACMTCGCCCAGTTCGGGACTTACGAGGTGRGTCAAGTTCCAAGATCTGAAAACTCCAATGCGGATGCCTTAGCCAAATTGGCATCAGCATATGAGACCGACCTGGCTAGATCGGTCCCGATCGAGATCTTGGACAACCCTTCAATCTTGGAGCCAGATGTGATGGAGGTTGACACTCCATCACCCTCTTGGATGGACCCAATCGTGGAGTTCATCAAAGGAAATCCAACGCAAGAACCGAAGGAGCAAAAGAAGATGGCACGGAGAGCAGCTCGGTTCACACTCTGAGAAGGAACGTTGTACCGACGTGGCTTCTCCCTGCCTCTGCTTAARTGTGTGACTCCCGAAGAAGGTCTTTACATTCTTAGAGAAATCCATGAAGAAGTGTGTGGAAACCAGTCAAGCGCTAGGTTGTTGTCGGCCAAAGTGGTTCGACAAGGGTACTATTGGCCCACTGTCGAACAGGATGCAAGTCAATTTGTGAAAACCTGCGACAACTGCCAGTGCTTTGCAAACATTATCCATCAACCTCCCGAACTGCATACCCCCATCTCGGCCCCATGGCCATTCTCGCAGTAGGGTAGATATCATAGGTCCTTTTCCCCTGGGCAAAGGGCAAACCAAGTTCGCTGTTGTCACTGTAGACTACTTCACCAAGTGGGCCGAGGTCGAGGCGTTATCCCACATCACGGAGTCCAGGATCACATCTTTTATATGGTCAAGCATCGTATGCCGTTTCGGCATACCGAACGCCATTGTGACAG